TTTCATTTTACCTAAACAATTATAAACAATATAATATTCAATTGTGTAGATAATCATTTCACATCAATTCTTTACTCTTCATTTATTGTACCATAAATGCATTTAAATCAAAGCAGTTTCATTACAAAACACAAAAATTAACATGACTGTTATCCAAATAAAAATTTTTACACTAAATGCAGTAAAAAATTTATTTGTTTACATGTATATGCAAACATAAATATGTTAAACAAGATGTCAACAAAATACTCATTAAGTGCTTTCAAACCTTCATATAATAGTTTCTAACTTTATAAATTGGTAAATAATAGTTACCGTATTTTGAAGATTATAAGTTGCACAATTTTTTTTTTACTAAGGAACATTTAAAAGAAATATGGTGATCACCCAAGAATTTTTGGAAGCGACTATGTCGTAATTTTTAAAGAAAATGCAAACTTTTTACTACTTTTTGGGGCTCAGAATCATGGTGCGTCTTATGCTCGAAATGTAACCATTTTTACAGTGAAATTATCTACAGTAGTGGTCCACTCTAGGGACCAACCTGTGCAGTGGTCCGTTAAGTAGATGGTCCCTCAACCAAATGGCTAGAGAACCTAAATTATCAGAGTAGCGACACACGAGTCATCGCCACCATGTTCTGTCGACTGTCATCACATGACCTCTGAGTTTACATTCAGAAATGATATTATTTCAGTTTAATAAAGGTATCAATTCATCCATCTGTCATAATCTTGATTAAAAAAAAAACGAATAAAATGCATCTTTAGACAATCCCATTAAAAAAGTTTTTTTCTAAATTTTTTGTCTCAAAATAGGGGTGCGTCTTATACTTGACAGCAACCATATATACTCGTCAAAATACGGTAATTTTTAAATGAGAAATAAAATTACCTCATTAAGTGAAATTTCCTCTTTATTTTGGGACAGTGTCCTTTTCCTCATTCTATTTGATGGTAATTGATGTTGCATGATTTCAGGAACTATGTGAGTAACTTCATTTGGTTTATTAACTTGTTTATACTAAAAAAAATAACAAGTATAAGTTTATTACATTCATACTTTTCAATAAAATGATTATAATTAAATAAATTCATTATTAACATTTCTATTACAAGTGAAATTTTGAGAGAATAAGATTTTTATAAAAATAAATTTTCAAAGCAACAATTAGAATTAAAAAATTTATATACTATTTTAATTTTACTAGGCATTAAATTATGAAACAAATGTGGTACAGTAGAACCTCGAAAACTCGACCTAATGTGGACCGAAGGGTGGCCGAGTTTGTGAAAATGCCGAGTTATCGGGAATGGGGTTAAAAAAAATAAGTACGAGTATTTCCTCAAAAAATACTGTACTGTACTTGTACAGTATTTACTTGTACAGAATATAACAGAGAATAAACTGCCCAAATACCCTTAAACAAAGGAAAAGTACGTCCTTTATGAAGGCATAGAGCCTTTACTACATGAAAATGAAAATTAATGAATACACTGTGTACAGTAATTTACCTGATAAGACAGACCTCAGAAAAATACTTT